CCCCCCCCTCCCGGTCCCCCGGCGGCCCCACCCCCCCCAGCCAGTCCCATGTAGCCCCACCCCCCCCAGAAGCCCCACCCACTGGGGCAGATCCCCTAACTGCCCCCCGGGGGGGGGGGGGTATTTGCCCTCCACCCCCAGACCCTGGGGAAGACTCGCCTCCCCCATAGCAACCTCTGCTCCAGCCAACCAGGTGGGACAGCCTTGCTGGCCATGCCCCCATCCCGGGGAGGGGCCGGCGCCTGAGAAGGCTGTATTTTATGGCTGAGAACTCTGATTGGCTGCTGCAAGCCCCGCCCTGCAGGAATATACCATGGGAGCCCAGCCAATAGCAGTGAATGCCAGGAGAGCGGGGAAAGGCTGTCATTGGCAGCTGAGGGAGCCTCCTGCAGTCAACCAGACGAGGCGTGACACCGAGAAAGGTTCTGATTGGCTCCTAGGATGGATCTACCACAGGGAACAGGCCAGGATTGGTCCCATAAGCTTTGCCCACCCCATCTAAAAAGAAGGAGGAGCCTTACACCAGCCATTCATAGGCAGGGTCCCACTATAACCACCCCCCCCCCCCTCCCACCTCAAAAGGACCCCTGGTGTGAAACAGCCCCTCCAATTGGCCCCCTGGAGGTACAGGGGTACAGGTACAGGAACAACCAATCAGTCACCTCCTCTCATCCTGTCCCCCCCAACACACACACTTTGTTCCCTCAATGCAATAAATCAGGCCCCCCGATAGGTTCTATAATCTCCAGCAAACAGCCAATCAGAAACTGCTCTCAGGGCCTCCCCCAAAAGGAAATGAAGGGTCTCACTGGAATGAATGGGGGATGCCAGCCAATCAGGGGGCTCGCCCCATCCCACAAAAGACAATGCAGGATTCGACAACAAACAGCGTCCCTCACTGACCCCAGTCCGAAGCTCTGAGCCAATCAGGGGCTTCCTCTCACGCGGAAGAGGATCCAGGGAGTGCGGGGCGCCCCGATAGGCGCTGCTCCGCCCAATCAAGGGGCTCCTCATTCCCCCGAAGGGGTTTCGGGGATCAGACGAGCCCTCCCCGATCGGTCCCCCCGCGTTCATTCCAAAGAGGGGCGCCGGCGGCCAATGAGGCGCCTCCTCTCATGCCCCGAACCACGCTGCGGCAATGAGACGCGGCGCGTGATTGAGCGCCGGGCTGATGGCGGACGCCGGTGCGGCCTAATGGGCCCCGGCGCCGCCGGTACCTGTACGTCTTCGTTGCGGAGCTCGTCGATCAGCACCGCGATGGGGTAGAGCGAGTCGTCGCCATCGGCCGCCGCCATCTTTGCTCCCGGCTCCAGCTACTGAAAAGCCGCGGGGACGCCTTAGCCGCCTTGCAGGGGTGGCCCCGCGCTGATTGGCTGGGCCGGGGCCCCTGTCTTGCCCTTCTCTTTTATCATTGGCTGGGCTGGCGGTCACTTAGAGTGTCTCCCCGCTCTCCCTGATGCGATTGGCCGAAGGAGTGTGTCAGCCACATCCAACCCGCGCTCTAATTGGTTGGAATGACACTTGGTCCGTCCCCTCTGCGCTACAAGCGCCATTGGGTCTGGGGCCAGTGCACCCGCCTCCTCCACAACGCCATTGGGCGAGAGCTCAGAGTACCCCACCTTCCTTTAAATCCTATTGGTTACGTCCCTCTGAATTCCCGCCTCTGCTTTCTCATTGGCTAGATAGTTCCTGTCAATCTCCGTCCCCTTGCACTCTATTGGGAGAGGAAAACGGCACTCCGTGTCCCAGCGCCCGCCTTCTCCCTCAGATAATTGCCACTCGATTTGATTGACATGGCACTAGTCCAATCCTAATGTAACCCTCGAGAACGACTGGGGCTTGGGTGGTTCTAAGGCGGGGAATGATACTTGTTGCCCTTAGCAACCGCAAGGTCGGCCATCTTGGCTCTGTTACCACGGGAACAGCACTGTGGGTGCCTTCGTGATGCCACAGCGCCGTGGGTGACGTCACAAAGCCCTGCGCTGATGAGGTCATACCCAAGATGACATTGCAGCCCAGGGGATGACATAACACTCGCTGTGATGTCAGAGCACCAGCTAGGATGGTTTTGGCCCCCACAGTGGATGTTACGGGGCCCGGGACCCCGATCCAGCTGCCTCCCCCCGCGCCACAGCCCACGGACCCGCTCCCGTCCGCTGCGAGCCCCGCCCCGCTCCCCACGTCTCCCCGCCCCTCCATCCCTCTCTCTCCAGCCACCGATACACCTGCTTACCGATTTACTCCTATACACGTCTATTCCTTCGTCCTTCTAGCCACCGACACGTCTATCGATCTATTTATCTACCCATCCACCCACCCGTCCATCCCCATGCAGCCCTCCTGCTGCGCTATGTCAATCCACCCATCCATCCACGTACGCACATACCTACCTGCCTAGTCCCACACGCTCCTCTCTCTCTGTCTCTCTCCATCGTTTCGTGTTATCCTGCACCATCCCGGTCTCAGCCAGAGCTGCAAACACACAACAACTCCCCTCTTCTCTTGACTTCCTAAAAGATGCAGCCAAACGCAAGCATTTAGGAGGTTTTTAATGGTGACCGGGAAAGGAAATCAGCTCCAAAACAGGGGAACCGGCACATTGCTGCCCTCTTACATATACGGGGGCCCTTGTGGCTCCATCTTTCCTGAAGCCTCCTATGTTTTGTCCCCAGAGACCCTGAGCGGCTCCTGAGCATCGTGCCAAGGGGGGACAGTGGGGAGACCCAGCCCCTGCTCGTGGCTGATCAAGGCAGAAGAGCGGGGATGTAGTGCGCAGGTTTGTTACTACCCTGAAATAGAATAGTTTTCTGATAAGCATACTGTTAGGTTTACAATAATTTAGATTATTAGAAAGTATTAGCTTTACAGCTGAATACAAGGCATGACCTGAGGCCTAGCAATGCAGCTGACCACAAGGCAGATTGATAGCTAAGCCTTTGCTTGTGTCAAGTAATCATTTTAACTGTATTAAGCATTTTCTGAGTTAAAAGCAGCAAGTATCTCTGTGTCTGTGTGCTAAAAAATCAGCTACAGCAAGAAATAAGATAAGACAGGGAAACCATTGTTCTGGGTGCACTGGTTGTGTCCTTGAGAAGTATCTACTACTGTGTAAGGTTTTGCTAACATATTATAATGTTACTGTTACTTAACTTTTAGCTTTTAAAAAGTGCTAGTTCAGCTTAATAAAAATATGCTGTTACAAAGATTTGAAAAGCACCGCCCAAGTATTGCTTTTTTTTGTTAACCATGAAGTCTTGCCTTGTTGTAATAAGTATAAAAGATCACCTCACCCTTAGGGGGGGGCCATTTTGCCTTTTGCTGGCTTTATGGTCTTTGCTCGAGCAAATAAACAGCTGTCTTTCTTTACCCGCGTTGTCTGTCTATCAAATTACAGCTAGACAACAAACCTTAGGGAGGTTTCTCCCACCACAGGGAGGAGATACCAGGCTGGGATGAGACACCAGGCCCCCGATGTAGCAGGGCCGGGCGGGGGTCCAGGTCGCATCCGGGCGGCTGTGCGGGGGCTGAGCTCTCACCTCTGGCTGCTTCGTCCCCAGACGTATCCTGCAACAGAGCAGGAAGGGCTGGGGCTGGGGTGAGCCCGTGCCCCCCACGCCCAACCCGCGGCCCCTGCTCCCCCCCAGCCCTGCCCCGTCACTCCTGACCCGCATCTGAAGAAGGCATCTGAGCATGCATGGATGGACAGATGAAGAGCGGGGGCCTCTGGGGATGGAGGGGTGAATGAATATAAAGATGGATGATGGATGAAGGGAGGGAGGCATGGATGGATGGACGCTAGAGGGAGCGATTAAAAGTCTGGCACCATGAGCAGCCTCGGGTCTAACAAGCGGGCCTGGACACATGCACCTTCTATCCCCTGGGAGCCCGGACGCCTGGGATCTCGAGGCAACGGGGGCAGGTGGGTGAGAGCAGGGGGTTGTGCAAGCCCAGACACCTGGGATCTCTCTCCTAACAGCAGGGACAGGCTGAATCCTGCTTAGGCCCTGGTTTGAGCCACTTCCACTTCTGCCCATGACAGCACCTGCCCCAGCCGTGTCTGGCCCGAGGTCCCCACTTCCTGTCCCCGACGGGCACTGACTGTTTCCCACCAGTTCCACCCCAGAGCTGGGCGCATCTCGAGCCATGGCAAGCCTCCGCAGGCACCCCCAGCACCCGAGTCCAACCCAGTAAGTGATTTTGGGCTCAAAGGGACCAGAGAAGCCACAGAAAAGCCCTTGGGGAACAGGCTGAGATCAAGGAGGGCAAATGGGGCTGGCTGTGGTTGGCAGCTGGGGCTGGAGGCTCAAATACCTGGGTGCTCTCCACCTCTGGGAAGGGTGTGGGGGCCGGGGGTGAGAACAGGGGGCCCAGACTCCTTGGTTCAGTACCCAGGTCTGTTGCAGGCTCCTCTCTCAACCGAGGCGCTGTTGTGAGAAATAACTACCCCCCCCGAGACTCTTACTTCTGCTTTCGGCTTTTTGCTTCCTGTTCAGGCTGTTTCCCACTTGTCCCTCAAGCAAGTCTGGGGCGGAGGGCAGGGTGGGGGGGGGTAGAGGCCTGCCCCCCCTGCCCTGCTGGTGCCCCTCAATCCTGACACCAGTCCCTGCCCACCCCCAGCCTTGCCAGTGCCCCTCACTCCCCACCTGCAGCCCCCCAGCCAGTGCATAGGCGGTGCACAGAGATGCCTGTGCACCCCTGTAGAGCGCTAGTGCATCCCCTGAGAGGCCACGCTCCCCACTTAGGCAATGGGCGGGGGGGCAGGCAGGAGTGCCAGCGCCCGCTCTGCAAGTGCTGGCCAGGGACTGGGAGCGCCGGATGGTGAGATTGGCCACAGGGGGGCCGGTCACTGACTGGTCACTGGTGGGGTACACGCCCCCCCCGACTAAAGCGGCACCAGTCGCCTATGTCCCAGCCCTGCCGGTTCCCCTCACTTGACCCCTGATTCCCTGCCTCAGCGCCCCCTACAGGTATGTTTAGGAGGGTGGGGGAGGTAGTGGGAGGTGTTGGGGGAACCAACATAGACGGCTGCAGCATCTAAACCAGGGGCGGGCAATTATTTTTGGGTTCTGGCAAGCTGCTGAGGGCCACATGGGTAGCCCCACCCGTTAACAGGTGCCCCGCCCCCTGGTCATCATCTTGGGACTGGAAGTCCTGCCCCCTGCCCTTTGCCACCAGAAGTCCAGGGGTGATGCCTAGGGGGTGTACGCAGGTGCACATGCACCCCCTGAGCATGGCAGTGCATCCCCTCCAAAAAGGTGCTTGCAGGTGGTCGCTACTCACCACCTTGCCGCCAGCACTGCCAGTGGCGTCTGTGGGCGGTCAGCGATCCCCACGGGCTGCCGCCGATGCTGCCGGTGGCAGCTGCAGGAGCTCCCCGCTCACCGCCACTGTCCTCCCATTGCTGTCGCCGTGCTCCCCCTGCCACTGTGCCCCACCAGCTGCCAGGGGCACGGGTCGTTTATGCACAAGTCCTTCCCCTTGCCTCCAAAAGAACCTTGTCTGTCCTTTCAGTAAGGGGTTTTGCCATCTCGGAACCAGAAAAATATCAAACTATAGTTTAAAAATCGAACATTGAAAACATGCGTTAATTTGGTTTCAAAAATATTTTTGTCCTGATTTACATGTGCTTGCTGAGTCTACACAGAGGTGATTGTATAATAGCTTAAAATGAAGTCTTATGGTTGTCTATTGGGTGGGGCACAGGGGGTGCATATAGATTTGTGGGGGGCTGTGGGTATGTGGGGTGCGGGGGAGGGTGGAGGTGGGGGGATTCTGTGGGGGTGGATAGGCGTGGGGAGAGGGAGCATGTGGGTGTATGTGGATATGTGGGTTGTGGGTGGGTATGGGGTTTGTGGGAGGTTGTGTGTGGGGAAGAGGGTGGCAGAGATGTGGGAGGGGGAGTGGGTGTGCGGGTCTGTGTGTATGGCAATGCAAGCGAGGGTGGGTGTATGTATGTAGTGGGGTGTGCGACTTGCCCTATAAACACGCATACTCTGTCATTGCTTTGTCTCTCTCTCCCCCTCTCTCACTGCATGGATGTGTGCAGGCAAACTGCCCCCTACCCCCAACTCCTGTTCCAGGCCCCAGGGTACTGATGTGGGCCCCCTGCTCCCGCAATCTAGCAATGCAGCCAGGAGCCACGTAATGCCAGAGCGGCCAGTGGGCAGGAAAGCAGGAAAATGGCAGCTACAGGCCGGGGAGTGGCAGCGAGCAGGCATACGAGAGCGCAGCGACAGTGCGGGGCCTGCGCAGGTGTCCTGGGGCCAGCGGTGATGGGGCCCAGGGCTGGGCAGCAGGCATCTGGGTTCCTGGCACCCCCTGCTCACACCCACAAGCCCCACTCCTGACCCCCAAGAATCCAGGTGTCCGGGCTCACAGAGCTCCCGGGCCTGCTCCCCTCAGGGAACCCAGGTGTTCTGGATACCAAGCCCCTTCCCTGCAGACCCTCCTGGCCTCTGTGAGCTAAAGGGATCCCAGGCGCCTGGGCTCCCAGAATCCCCTGCTCTCACCCCCAGACCCCAACAGCCTCCTAGACCTGGAGAGAATCCAGATGGCTGGGTACTTGCGATGTGGGGAGCTGGAGGGTGTTGGGGAGGCCCACTGTCCTCCACCAAAACCAGGCGCCCCTTCCCCTCCCCAAAACCCAGGCATGTGGGCCCTGTACCGCCCCAGGAGAGAGAACCCAGGCATCTGGCCCCCTCCAACTCTGGGGTGTGAACCCAGGTGTCCGGGCACCCTGACCCATGCCCTCCCCCATCTCCGCAGCAGGCACCCCTGTGTCCCGCCTGGAGGGTCTGGGGTGGCAGCAGGAGGAGTCCCTGGCCCAGCTATGCTGCTCCCTGCCCCACCACTGACCTCCACAGCCCCTAGGCCTGGCCTGGGGGGCCCTGAAGGGCCTGGGGGGCTGCAGCCCCAATCCTGGGCCCGGCCGGACAGGCAACACCTAGACTGTGGCCCAGGTGGACGTCACGCCCCTGGTGCAGGGACCATGGCCGCATGCTCACCTACGCCCTGGATGACCCAGGTGCCCCTGCTGCACACTTGGAGCTGCACGTGCTCTGTGAGTGGGGGCAGGGCTAGCAGGGCAGAGGCAGGGCCACAGGGGCAGGGCCAATGGGATGTGGGGGACAGGGTTGTGCCCAGCTCTGGGGTGGAGCTGGGGCCAGGACCTGGGTTCAGGGGCGTGGCCAGTGGAAGCCCCACTCCACAGACCACCCTGGGACACCAGGTTGGGGCTGCTCGGGGCTGCCGGTGCCCTGATGTGTCCAGCTCTGGGGTGGAACTAGGTCCTGATGCAGGGGTTGGAGCTGAGATGGCAAACTCAAGCAGCCTCTATGCCCCGCCCCTTGTGACCTTGGGCCCTGCCCCCTTCTGGCACTGAGCTCTCACTTGAGCCAGACCTGTCTATCAGCCTAAGCCCCATCCCATTTGTAGCCCTGGGTTCAGGCTGTTGCCCAAGCCTGGCATCCCCTTCCCTGGTCCCGCCCACTCTGCCTGTCTGTCATCCTCAAGCCCCACCTCTTCTGATTCAAGGTGCAGGCTCTCACCCACCCCAGGCCCTACCCATCACGCCAAGCCCCCCTCC